CTGGGATTCTTCATAAAACATATACTTCAGGTGACTCTAATGAAGATGGTCTGCAGACCACATTTTGATTAACATGAATAAAAACCAGGGAACATGAATTCAGTCAACTTCTTGCTCCAGTTGCCTGAGCAAAAGATCTTTGTTGATACCTGTCTTCTCTCTCCTCTATGAGAAAGTCATACTTCTATTTGAGGGTAATCCTTCCACTTGAATCCCCTGTCATCCTCTCTGCTTTTATCAATTATCTTTTTGTTTTCTAGCTTCAATGTCCTTTTTTCCTTTGGGTCAATCTTCTCAGCATAGTAATAAACTCAGTTGTAGTCCATATTAAAAAACAAAACAAAACTCTTGTCATGGTTTCTTTCCTGTTCTAGCTACTACCTTATTCCTTTTTTTTTTCTTTTCATGACCAAAATCCTCCTTTCTATACTCAATGTCTTACCTTCCTCACCTCCAATCATTTCCCAACTGTTGCATCTGGAGTCCACCATTCCAGCAAAATAATTTCTTGTGCAAGTTACCAATAATTCTTTAATGTCAATTTCATTAGGTGCTTTTCAGTTCTTATTTTGTCTTTCTGTTGCATTTGATGCTTTTGGCCTCTTCCATCTTAAAACTATAGTTGACCCTGGAACAATGCTGGGATTAGGGGAGCCTCCCCACCACGCAGTTGAAAATCAATGTATGACTTGACTCCTCAAAAACTTAACTACTAATAGCCTACTGCTGATCAGAAGGAGTGTTATTGATAACCTAATCAGTTAACACATATTTTGGGGATACCTGGGTGGCTCAGTTGGTTAAGCGTCCTGGGATAGAGTAGCATATAGGGCTCCTTGCTTGGCGGGGAGCCTGCTTCTCCCTCTGCCTCTCTGCCTGCCACTCCTCCTGCTTGTGCTCTCTCTCTCTCTCTCTGACAAATAAATAAAATCTAAAAAAAAATCAACACGTATTTTTTATGTTCTATGTATTATGTATTGTATTCTTACAATGAAGTAAGCTGGCGAATAGAAAGTGTTATCAAGAAAATCATAAAGAAGAGAAAGTACTTTTATAGTACTGTACTGTATTTACCCCCCCAAAATCCGTGTATAAGTGGATCTGTGCAGTCCAGACCTGTGTTGCTTCAGAGTCAACTGTATTTGATTTCCCATACTCTATCTTACCGCTCTTGTGTTCTCTTCCTATCTCTCTGGTAGTTTCTTCTCAGTCTGTGCTCTCCTCTTCCTCTTTTGGAATGTGCATATTATTCAGGGTTCCATCCTTGGCCCATTTCTGTTTTATACGGAGTTGCGACCTTCTCTAACACCTATGTGCTTGCTGTCAGCCACCCACACCTCCCTCTTCCCCGAGTCCCAGACCTGTATCCACAACTGCTACCCGAACATCCTGAACTGGATATCTTTCAGGCAACTAAAATTCAATACGCTAAGGATTGAACTCATGACCTTTCCCTAAAGACCTGCATGTTTCTACTTCTGTATTTCCTTCATCAGCTTGGCTGCCCAAACTAAAATGGGGGATTTATCTTACTCTTTCCTCCTACCCCTCCTCCCCACACCCAGTCACCAGGTCCTACTGATGTCATCTCCATGTGGCTTTTGCATCTGCCCTCTCCTATCTCCACGCCACTATCTGCATCCTGTCATTCATCATCTAAAGTATTGTTGTTATTTCCTTATTGATCTCCTTTTCTCTACCAGGGCCATCCTCCAAACCATCCTGTGTCTTGGGTCCTAAGGAGAGTGGCTGAAAAGATATAGGGACATATTGGTGTAACTCAAGGATACAGCCATTTGTTTAAAGGGTGGTGTAGTTGAAGGAGAACTCCAGTTTGTTCTCTGCTCAGAGTCAGGAGACATCAGTTTGTCTTTCAGACTGTCAACTTGGAATGTGGAAGCTGCTGAAAAGACTTATATATTTCAGCTGTAAAATTAAGAGCAGTAGCCAGGGTTTGAGAAAAACACACCAGAGAGTATTGTTTTCCTTCCCTCTCCTTTTCTTTTCTTTTCTTTCTTTTTTATTTTACTTATTTACCTGAGAGAGAAAGCACAAGTAGAGGGAGCAGCAGAGAGAGAGAGAGGGAGAAGCCTCAAATCGTGGGGCTCTAGGCGCCTGGGTGGCTCAGATGGTTAAGCGTCTGCCTTCGGCTCAGGTCATGATCCCAGGGTCCTGGGATCAAGTTCCGCGTCAGGCTCCCTGCTCCTTGAGAGCCTGCTTCTCTCTTTGCCTCTCTCTCTCTCTCTCTTTCATGAATAAATAAATACAATCTTTAAAAAAAAAATCATGGGGCTCGATTCAGGACCCTGGGATCAGAGCTGAGCGGAAGGCAGACACTTAACTGACTGAGCCACCCAGGCGCCCCCTTTCTTTCTTTTTTATTTTTTTAAAGATTGTATTTATTTATTTATTTGTCAGAGAGCGAGCTCAAGCAGGGGGAGGGGCAGAGGGAGAAGCAGACTCCCCGCTGAGTAGGGAAACCGATGCAGGACTGGGACTTTATCCCAGGACCCCGGGAATATGACCCGACAAGCCGAAGGCAGATGCTTAATCGACTGAGCCACCCAGGTGTCCCTCTTTCTTTTTTAAAATTGTTTTTTCTTAAGTGGCAGAAGGGCATAGGGAGTCAAAAGTGACAGTATGAAGATAAGGGAGATCATATAGAGAAATCATTCTGTAGTTAATAAAGGTTGTCCAAAACCATAATAGGCAAGATTAGTGGTAGGACAGAGGATGCTGAAGAATCAGAAAATTAATCTTGTTCTGTTGTAATGGGCATAAGCTATCCATTTCTGTAGTCTGCAGCTTCTGGAGAATTCCCAAGAATCTTCAGTTTGAGGTCTTCCAATGGATTAGACATCCAGTATCTCAGAAAAAAATGATGCATGTATTTTTAGTTGGGTAACATGAATCCAAGGATCAATGCCTTTGGAGTTTCACTGTTGGTTTGTTGTTAACTGTGCCTGATGAGGTTTTTCCACTGAGGATCAATGGAAATTTTTTTCTGATTCTTTTTCAGAAGACCGAATCTCTAGATTTCCGATCATGCAGAAGCTGCTTAGGTGGGTGCTTTGTTGCTTTATTGTTGATAAAACAGGAGTTATAGTGTGGGTCCTCTGCAGTAATTAGTCATATCAACTTGTATTAAGGTAGAATCTAGTATTGGAAAGGATTCCCAAATACACGAGGGAACCTGTTATTAACTCAGAAGGAGATAACTTGTGGGTCTTACAATAGATTGATGTCATTGCTATCAAGACAAATGGAACTACTTTGGGCCTTGGAAATTTGAGAGTTTCTGAGAGCTTCAGTAATTAGTTTCAGAATTCCATTAGTTCCCTTTAATTTTCCTGAAATTTGTGGATGATAAGGATAGTGGAGTTTCTAAGTAAATGGTAAAGTTTTACAGAATTATTTAACAACAGTATCACTGAAATGTATGTACCTGTTACTGGAGAGGTACCCTGGGATTTCTCAAGTCAGGAATACAAAATCAAACAATTTTTTTCTATCATTACATCCATAGCTCTCCAGTAAGGAAAAGCCTCAACCTGTCATAAGAAGAGTTGTATTTGAATGTACTCAGTCCATTTAGAGGTGTTCATAGGAGGCCTGAGGCTTTGGGCTCCAGTCTACGTTCTATCTTTATAGTTTTGCTAGAATTGGGTCATTGGCAGATAGGACATACATCGTTGGCGATACCCCTAAAAATTACCCCACCCATGTTGGTTCGATATCATTGTCAGTTTATCTTTGCTATTGTGGATAGATACCATGAGAATTTTCACTGGACTCTAATTATGGCTATCTCCTTAGGTAATAGCAAAGCTTCTCAAGATTCTTTAATTTGCTATTCATTTTACAGGAGTTCCTGAAATAGTCAGGAAATCTCTGTTTCTAAAGCATTTCAAAGTCACTGACTAACCTAAAAATATATGTACTATCAGTACAAATACTTGCCCTTTATCAGCTGATAGGTCTGGGCCAAGGCAATTTACTGGATCTACAGAAGACTTGGGATGGCACTAACTCAGCCAGCCAATTACTAGGTAAGAGACTTTCGGCAAGTTATTTCTCTGAGCACTAGAGTTCTTCAAATATGAAATGGTAATAATACTCATCTCACCGAACTGTGAGCATTTAATGAGTTACTGCACAATAATCAATGAATAATACCTACCACCAAGTCCTCCACGTTGGTTATCTGCTTTAGTCATCACAACCATCCTGTGTGATGGCCTTTTATCATTTTATAGAGGCTCAGCCACACAGCTTTAAGTGGCAATGTCAGGATTCAAACTTCTACTTTTTTCTGATTCCAAGCGTCCGGTTCTTTTTTTTTTTTTCCTTTTAAGATTTTATTTATTTATTTGACAGAGAGAGACACAGGGAGAGAGGGAACACAAGCAGGGGGAGTGGGAGAGGGAGAAGCAGGCCTCTCGCCGAGCAGAGAGCGCGATGCGGGGCTCGATCCCAGGACGCTGGGATCATGACCAGAGCGGAAGGCAGACGTTTAACGACTGAGTCACCGAGGCGCCCCAAGCGTGGGGTTCTTAACCTTTCTACCGCCCCAGACATTTTTCACTGCTGGGTTCAAGTGCCCATCATACAGCCTGTCGCCTAGCAGGCACTCAACCTTTAAAAATTAAGTTTGCAAGTTTGATTATCATAGGTTTGTCCTAGGGTCTGATCTCCCCTCGGTGCATGGGCAAAATTCAGCTTTGGCCTGGCTCAGTCGAACACTAAATTCTCCCCTCCCTCGAGAGGAGCCCAGTCCGGGTTTATTGTGAGCTTTCAGTACTGTGAGCGAGATCCCAGCGAGTGACGAGGGTGACGCCCCTCCCTCGCCAGCCCCCGCCACACCTCCGGCCTCCGCGGGGCGTCCTTAGCAACGCGCGCTTTCACTCCCTGCCCCGCCCAGTTCGTTCTGCGCCGCGCCCCGCGCGAGGCGGTGGCGGTCTTTGCGCCTGCGCGCGGTTGCAACCGCCTGTCAGCTCTCCTCCCCTCCCCTCCCTCCCCTTTCCCCTCTCCCCCTCCTCCTCTGCCTCCTGGAGCGAGACACCAATATGGAGCCTGAAGACCTACCATGGCCCGGCGAGCTCGAGGAGGAGGAGGAGACGGAAGAGGCGGAGGAGCGGGAGAACCTGGACTCTGACGAGGTGGTGATGGTGGAGGAGGTGGAGGAAGAGGAGAGGCGGGAACTGGATTCGCACTTTAACTACGAGAGCCAGCCTCGGGAGAGTACGGACGAAGAGGACGACGAAGAGGCCAAGGCCTGGCTGCAGGCGCACCCCGAACGTCCTTTGCGTCCGTCGTCGCTCTCGAGGCACCGCTACTCGGAGGACAAGCGGACCCGCCCGGAGAAGGTGAGCCGGGCCGGGGAGAGATGGGGGCTGCAGTCGGGCAAGGGTGACGGGGCGTCTTTGCGCGCTCAGCCTGCTCTCTGCCCCGCTGCCTCCTGCTCGCTGCAGGCCACGGTGCCGGACAAATAATAAGCGCGCTTTTAAAGGCTTGTTGGGGCCGTCTCACGTCCTGGGCCTCCATTCTTTCCCAGGTTCTGGCTGACTACGCCAAGTCTCCCATTCTTTATGGCAAAGACCTTTCTTGTTTCCCCCTCTCTGTGGGTCCCGGGCCTTTTGAATTACACCAGCTGTTCCGAGAGTCCTTATTCCCAGCGGGTGTGGGTTAAGCAACGCTTTGGGGAGGAGGTGGAGCTCCTCGTACCCGGCTGGAGGGGAAAAGGGCGTTTGTAGGAGTGGAGAGAGTGGTTGTCCAGGGACTCCCTTGGGGAGACAGGAGATTAGTATGCCTGAAGGGCAGGACTCTCCTTGAGGGACTACAGTGGATTATGGACATTACATGATTAGTCTCCAGAGGCTCCTCACCTGTATTACTTCTCCGGACCCTTGTTTGTAGCAATAAAGGGGAGTCCCCCGTAGGTAGCAGAAGGCTTATGCTGCAGCTCCAGTCTGGAAAACTAGAAAGCACAAGGTAGTACACAAGGGAGAAAGAGTTGATTTTATGGTCAGCTCCTGAAGACCATTTTGAAAATAACTACATTTAATTCATTAGCTTTTCAGGGAGGAAAAAAAAAAAGGTTTGCTATTCAATTTGAATATCAAATCATCAGACATTTATTAAGTTTCTGTTTTGTGCAGGGCACGTCGTGGGGACCAAAAGAAGCCTAGTGTTTATTGTCTAGGACTGCTCTATAGACAAGATATAAACTGTGCAGAGTGAACAAAGTACAAGTGAAAAGACAGAGAAGAGACTTTTTATAGACCTGTGCTGTTCAGCACAGCCATCACTAGCCACATGTGGCTCTTTGCATCTTATTTAGTTAAAATGAAATAAAATTAAAAATTCAGTGCCTCTGTTGTACTAACCACTTTTTTTTTTTTTTAAAGATTTTATTTATTTGACAGAGAAAGACACAGCGAGAGAGGGAACACAAGCAGGGGGAGTGGGAGAGGGAGCAGCAGGCTTCCCGCCCAGCAGGGAGCCTGACGCAGGGCTCGATCCCAGGACCCCAGGATCATGACCTGAGCCGAAGGCAGACGCCCAACGACTGAGCCACCCAGGCGCCCCTGTACTAACCACTTTTTAAGTGCTCAGTAGCCACACTTGACTAGTGGCATTATTGGACAGTGCAGATATAGAATAGTTCTGTCATCACAGAAAGTTCTTTTGGACTTTAATCCTATAGACTGTTGATCATTAAAGAGTAATAGTTATTGTTTTGCCTGGTAAATATTCCATTGGGCACTTAATTCATTGAACATTCGCCATGAGCATTCAGTGTCATGCTGGATGCTGAGGAATCTTGGTGAACCCAAACATTTTTTTTTTAACCTCTGCCTTTCTAGTGTTCAGGTAAGAAGAAGGCAGACAAAATTTAGTTGGCTACATAAATAAGAGTAAAACTGATATGTGCTAATATACTTTGAAAGCATACGGTAAGGGAATCTGACCTTGTTAGCGAAGCTGGCAAAAGTTTCCCAGTGGAAGTTCTGATAGAGCTAACGTCTGACGAAAAAGGTTAACTAGACAAAGGGAAGAGAAAATCTCCCAGTTGAGGGAAAGGCACGTGGAAAGGTGCTGTTGGAGAGAACATGGTGTTTCCAGGGAACCAAAGACCAATGTGGATAAAGGCTTTATCTCTGGAGCTTTGGAACTGTTTAAATGGAATTGTTAAATTTGGGAAATGTTTAAAACATTTTCAATGATAAGATGTGTGTTTCAAAAAGATCACTTTGTTGTAGAGTGGAGAACAGCTTTGACAGCAGGATGGGGTGGGAAGTAGCAGTAAGTCAGGGATGCTAATTATTAAGCCATTGCAGCATTGCCAGGCAAAAGATAATATTTTGGAACCAGAAAGTGTTGGTGGATATAGAAAAAACTAGACTGATTCAAGAAATATTTAAGAGGTAGGGGCACCTGGGTGGTTCAGTTGCTTAAGCGTCTGCCTTCGGCCCAGGTCATGATCTCCAGGTCCTGGGATTAAGCCCCATGTCCGGGGAGGGGGTGGGGATGGGGGGATGGGTATCTACTCAGCAGGGAGTCTGCTTCTCTCTCTCTCCCTCCCCCTCTGCTCCTCCTCCCTGCTCATTCTCGTTCTAATAAATTAAAAACATATATAAGAGGTGAAATCATCACACTTATACATTAATTTTACATTATTACTACACTAATGGATTAAATGTGGAACATGAAGGCAACAGCGTGTCTGGGTGTTAGATTATTCAGTGAATGGTTGTGTCAAACATGGAGATATGGCCAGGATAATGGTGGGAGCGATGGAGAGAGGGGTTGATGGGATTGGCTGAGATGAGTGTGAAGATTATAAGATTGGTTCTGGAGATAAGAGGAGAAGTCTAGGTTTGGAAATTTCAAGTTGTAAGTTATCTGCATAGAGACCATAATTAAAGCCATGCTTGTGGGTGAGGTCTCCTTTTATTTTGTTCTATGACTTCTTGTTTGAATAACTATTAGTATTTTAAATTTATATCTCTAAGCCTAGAGGAAGAGCATATTAAACCACTTTAACTCTTTTTTTTTTTTTAAAGATTTTATTTATTATTTGAGAGAATGAGAATGAGAGAGAGAGAGAGAACACATGAGAGGCGGAAAGGTCAGAGGGAGAAGCAGACTCCCTGCTGAGCAGGGAGCCCGATGTGGGACTCGATCCCAGGACTCCAGGATCATGACCTGAGCCGAAGGCAGTCGCTTAACCAACTGAGCCACCCAGGCGCCCCACTTTAACTCTTATTAGAGCCAATGTGAAAAATTATTATCCTATTTTTTTCCCCCTTGGTTAAATGATTTTATTTAAAAGGCACTTACCACAGGAAAACAGCACCATAATTCCACCTAATTGAACTCTAAATCTAAAATAAAGCAATGTAAGAGAAGGAATGATTCAAGACAAATGATCAAATCAAATTAAATAGCAGTTTATTTAAATTAAATTAATTAACATACAGTACATTATCAGTTTCCGGCAGAGGTCAGTGATTCATCAGTCTTATATAACACCCAGTGCTCATTACATCACTGGCCCTCTGTAATGTCCATCACCCAGTTACCCCATCCCTTCAACTCCCTCCCCTCCAGCAACCCTCAGTTTGTTTCCTATGATTAAGAATCTCTTATGGTTTGTCTCCCTATTATCCCATTTTTTTTTAAGATATTTTTTTTTAACTATTTATTTGACAGAGACAGTGAGAGAGAGAACACAAGCAGGGGGAGTGGGAGACAGAGAAGCAGCCCCCCCCATGCGGACCTCGATCCCAGGACCCTGGGATCATGACCTGAGCCGCCCAGGCGCCCCTCCCTATTATCCCATTTAACAGTAATCTATGTGTAATAAAAACCTTGCTTCTTAGAGCCCAGTGTTTTTTCCCCCCAGAAGTGTGGGGTGGTTTTTTTTGTTTGTTTGTTTTGTTTTGTTTTCTATTTTTATTTATTTATTTTTAAAGATTTATTTATTTGACAGAGAGAGACACAGCGAGAGAGGGAACACAAGCAGGGGAAGTGGGAGAGGGAGAAGCAGGCTTCCGCCGAACAGGGCACCGGATGTGGGGCTTGATGAGTTTGTTGTGTAGTATTTAAGGCAGTGTATTAAAAGGATGAGACCAAGTGATAGGAAACATTAATTCAGTCTAGTCTCAAGTTAAATGACAAAATAGTAAGAATTTGCTTCACTCATGTTATCTTGTACTAGATCATAAGGATGTACTAATGGTAATGTATGAGATAGTGATTAAGTTCTGGGACCATGACCCAAGCCGAAGGCAGACGCTTAACGACTGAGCCACCCAGGCACCCCTTGTTTTGTTTTTTTTTTAAGAGAAATAAGATATATTTTCCCTGTTTACCTTGGAGAATACATGAAGGTGTTCTGTAGTGAAGGTAGTTTTAAGATGATAATAAAGAGTATTAAGATTTTTTTGCTTTAGTTCACTGACATTAAAATTTACTGGCATAAGTTGGAAAGTGTTTAAAGGAGAAACTTTAATATGTGTCTTGCTAGACGTTTATGTACTATAAAATCTTACTTTTTTTTAAAGATTTCTCTATTCATTTGAGAACGAGAGTGCATTTGAGAGAGAGAGCATGCAAAAGCGCACTTACACAAGTGCAGGGACGGACAGAGGGAGAGGGAGAGAGTCTTAGACTCCACAGTGAGCATGGAGCCTGACCTGGGGCTGGATCTCAGGATCCTGAGATCATGATCTGAGCTGAAACCAAGAGTCCTTCCATTGCTTAACCAACTGCACCATTTAAAGATGAGAGACGATGGACTCTGAAAAACAAACTGAGGGTTCTAGAGGGAGGGGGTGGGGAGATGGGTTAACCTGGTGATGGGTATTAAAGAGGGCACGTTCTGCGTGGAGCACTGGGTGTTACACGCAAACAATGAATCATGGAACACTACATCAAAAACTAATGTTGTAATGTATGGTGATTAACATAACATAAAAAAAAAGATGAGTTTGTTGTGTAGTATTTAAGGCAGTGTATTAAAAGGATGAGACCAAGTGATAGGAAACATTAATTCAGTCTAGTCTCAAGTTAAATGACAAAATAGTAAGAATTTGCTTCACTCATGTTATCTTGTACTAGATCATAAGGATGTACTAATGGTAATGTATGAGATAGTGATTAAGTTTGTAGTCCTGTTCCTGAGACTGAGCTAAGGCATGGGACTGTGTAAGTTCAGAGCAAAATGTGCCCAGCCTTACAACCAAGTCTTTTTAAGAGTTCAGGGAAGTGAGTGGTTCAGAGTCTTTACTGTTGGCCTTAACGCTGGTCCCTGCAGACCATTCAACATGGATCATTTCAAACACCTCTTAAAATTCCTGAA